CACCACACCGATGACCATGCCACCCCCATGCGAGATGGTCGATGACTGCACCATCTTCCCACAAGAACACTAACGGTATTAGAAGTCTCATTGCCAGGCTTCACCGGTTGCAACATGGGCTTCGTGGCGTCTTTCTCATACGACAACAAGGAGGCAGTGAGAGGGGGGGGGGAATGTGGCGTCATGCTAGAGTTTCTATCTCATGGGTTGCCGGCTAGCTAGAGACGCCACAGGACACGCTAGGATCAATTGGTGAACGAATGATCATGATCATTCAATGCACTCTCTGGATGAAAACCCAACACATATCTTGTTGCCGAAAATACCTTTTGATAGTTCTATTTTAGCTCGCCTTTGCATAGTTATGAGGAATGAAAATTTAAATGCATCTTCATCATAAACATTTTCTTCAGGACACCCGAGTAGCTCCTAGGGGGCCAGTCGGGAGAAACCTAGTTGATGTCCCCACCTTCTCCCCTCCCCACTCACCTCACAGCCATAGGAGGAAGTGTGTAGGAAAAAACATGCCTGGTTGATGGGGGGTGGCGGGCTCATCTCCTTGTGCTACAGGAGTTCTAGTCCTCCTGGCTAGAGTGTTGCAGCGGACCTAAATGGCGCATACGTCGGTGACCCCAGGACATCTCGATAGTGGCCATGTCACAATGGGTGTGAGGGTAGTGCGGTGATTGGTCACGGCTTCAACGATGGCGACAGTGATCTATGATGAAGGCTTTCTGTTCAATAAATTGCGCCGACAATGAACATTCTTGGTTCCCCATTTCCCGGCAACAACGAAGACACATTTTCTCAGGCCCTGTAGGAAGGCAATTTGCAATTTTCTTGGTTGCACGTGCATCGGTTATTTTTCTCCCGACGATGTGACCCCAGGCTGGCAACTATCTTTACCGAGTGCAAGGTCGGCGAAGTTTTAGCCTCCATATTGGAGGTTCCCCGTGACACGGTCTGGTGATTGGATGTCTCCTTATTGTTGCAGAGGTTTGCGGTGCTCGACATGGTCCAAGATGTCATCTAGCAACTCAACTTCTGCCTGCTGCGTGGGTTGTCTCTTGTCCGAGATTCCCCATGTGTCCAAACTAAATTGGCTCTCTGCAGGCTGCCTCGACTCTTAACTGCATAAATTTTGCTGGAGATGGTGGTCGGTGGACATTCTTACGCATTGCTTGGCATCATGTGTTGCGTCCACGTCAAGACTTTTTGTCTGCACGCGGTTGTGCATGATGGATCGGCGGGTGATTGCAAGGCATGGCAATGTCAGCTAGGGGGTGTTCTTTGGTTGTTGCTTGATGAAGCTGGTCTATTGATTGCATTTTATTTTTCTATTTTAATAATTTGGTTGTGTACATGCTAGATGTCCTAAGTAACTCTTAAGATCACGTTCATGTAAAGATCGGGTAATTGATATCCTTTCCTTTTCCTTGGTAATTGATATTATTATATATTTTCTTTATCCTTGGCTATAAGCAAAGTAATCTTATATACTAACTTATTTTTTTCAACATGCAAGCGTGCCACATAACCATATAATTATGGATGAGACAATAAGACCCACCTAAACATGCAACCATGCATGAGAAAAGACTCACCACCACACGCAACCATGCATATAAAAAGACTCACCACCACATACAATTATGCATAATCAAATATAATAAATCTAATGAATTTCTAATTTTGATTCACATTTTATTAATCTAAATATTGATATTATGCATTCATTGAAATATATTGCAATTGATTCCCGCAGCAACTCGCGGGGCATCATCTAGTTGCTTAAAGAGATATGGCTGCTTTGATTAAAAGAATTTGTAAAGAAATTTTTCATTTGATTGAAATCCTGTACATAGGATTTTTTTTTCTTGGGATTCATTTGTACTGGATTTCGTAAGAAAATTTTCATCCACTCCAATCTTGTGTGAATATTCCTATGTTTTTTGAGCTCAATCAAACATACATGCAATCCCTTAGCATTGAAGATGGCATACTGGGTAAGAAAAAAGAAAAAAATATTGAAGATGTCCGCCTTCCGCATTCATGGCCGCAGACTAGTCTTTCTGTCCGCGGACGGATGTTGTGTCCGATTTACGGGTCAGCATTGCAGCCTTTACATCATATCCCCGCGTTTTATATATGAGAGCCTTTTCACGGTTGATGCATCATCTCACTAAACCATACAGAAACTGTAGTTGTCAGTCCAAAGAAGGACATCAGAAACAAGAGGCTGTTTCCGGTAAGCCAACTTTTCTGGATGGGAGAAGAGAGAACTGGCCCTCCAGTATCGAACAACATCTTTTGTTGTCCTTTTCCGTGTAGAAAGAATTATGGATGACTTTTTTAATCATCCTTTCATGTTTTCCTAATTAATGGTATTATATTAAGTACATAACAATAGTCGAAGTTCAGAAAGAAAAATCTTAAGCAAAGCAAATGGATTTGACAGAAGGATAACTAATACTCGCATAATTACATCTGTAGAAAAACGTTGCATGTAGTCCTGAAACCGTACGAAGCCATGACCTTTAACTCTGTCTACTAACTCAATGAGACAACCACTAACGAACCCGTACAAATCCATAAAGGCGCTGGCACATAATCGATCAAACGAAGAGGCCTATATAATCAAGCTCGACGGAGCCCAGCCACAGCTTGTTGCCGTTCTGCTCCGCCACCTCGCTGAGCGTCACGCCCCTGGCGGCCGTCAGCTCCTCGACCTCCACGCCGTCGGCGCCGAGACGGACGCCGACCAAGTGCTTCACCGGAGCCGCCGTCGCGTTGAGCCGCGCCTTCTCCTGGTTGAGCGCCACCCAGAAACCGCCCTGCCCGTCGCGCCTCACGTTGTCCGGGTACCCCGGCAGGTCGGCGAAGAGCTCGTACTGCCCGGCCTTGGGCCCCTTGAGCCAGTACCGGAACGCCTGGCACGGCACCGTGTGCGCCACCACCAGGTGCGTCCTGTCGCGGCTGAGCGCGACGCCGTTCGGGTACGGCAGCTCCGCCTTGAGCACCGTGACGAGCTTCGTGCGCGCGTCGTACTTGAGCAGGCGGCCGGTCGCGTCGGCGTTCATGATGATCTCCGTGTTGAACCTGCACGCACATAAACATTGGTTCGTCATCTCCGGGGTTCATGCTACAAACGATTTTTAAGGCGTGATCTGGCGTGTGCGGTACCTCCGGGGGTAGTTGGCGCTGCTGTCGGTGAAGTAGACATCGCCGGTCGCCTGATCAACGTCGAGGCCGTTGAGGAAGTGGAAGGGGATGCCGTTCGCCTCCGTCGCTAGCACCTGGGCTTCGCCGCCTTCCGGGCCGACCTTCATGAGCCCCAAGTAGGCGTCGGCGATGTAGAGCTCGCCGGTCTTCCTGTTGAACCGGACACCCAGCGGCCGCCCGCATATGCTCTCCTTTTGTTCCGACGGCACCCCAGAATCCGAGCACAGAGGAATTTTCCTACACACGTCCCACATGCCACACGTAACCTAAATTTTAGATCGCGGTCGATCCTAAGAAAAAAAACACGATTTTGAGCTTTTAATTACACCGACCTGTAGTTGGCATTGTAAGCGAAGGTGGTCCAGCCGGCGGCGCTCCCGCCCCACCTGAGAACGCGCCCGTCGGAGACGCCGGTGTAGACCCCGTCCTTGCCGGCGAACGCGAGGCTCTCGGCGCCGCTGACGCCGTCGGGCAGCGGCAGACGGTAGCTCCACCGCGTGTCCGTCGTCTTGACCTGCTGCGCCGACGCGAGGGAAACGAGGCAGGCAAGCACGACGAGCACCGCCGCCAAGTTGCGCCCCATCGTCATAGTCCTCGAAAGTTTTCCTCTATGGGAAGTCGTAGCGCTCACCTCCATGCCTTTTATGGGAGGCCACGACCCATGGATCAGATCAGACCAGACCAGACACGGTAGTAATCCTACACCAACTCCACGTAAAATCCCACATGAACTGTAAGTAAAACCGTGACGAACTGTAAGTAAAACCGTGACGTGACGTGACGGGCTGCCCCCGTACGTCCGACCGAGCCCGTTTCGTTTGTGGTCTCTGCTGAGTTCGGCCCGAACCCGACCGGTTCAGGTATTGTTCGCCTCGGTCCACCCACACCCACTCCAACCTTGGCTACCACTAACCCAAGTAGTCTGGGGTCCGGGCCAGCCACGCCCGACCGAGGAGCTGGCTGTCGCGGCCGCATCGGGGCCGTCCATCGCGCAGGGGCGGACCCGAAACCCACCACGGCGACAAAACCACCACCCTGCACTCGCGAAATGGGTCGCGGCTCGCAACCCACGCCTCGTCGGCCCCGGCTCCGATCTGCTAAGCCCCCACCGGATCGGGTTGCGGGTCCCCTCCCCGCGACCCATCACCGCCGCTCGCCGCCGGCCGCCGCCGACGAGGTCAGTCTCCCGCCCTACGCTCTCTACACCTCCGCCTCCTCCGTCTTAGCGGGTCCGCTTACCCGAGCCAGAAACGCTAGCTGTAGCTGAGAACCCATTTCCTGGAGCTCGAGCATGGGGGGCGGGAGTAGGACCCGACCCCTCCGGGCTTCGATTAGTCCCTGGAGTCCCGAGATCGCTTGCTTGCCACGGCTGATTGCGTCGTGGTTTTGGGGATTGGGTCTTCGGACGGGGTAGGTGAAGGGGATTTAGTGAAAGGAGGTCCTTCGGTCCATGGTAGCTTTCAGCACTTCGCGAAATTTTAGCCGTCATGTAGTGTGAGTATGCGCTTAACGCATGAGCAATCGTTAAGTTGGAAAGAGGAATTTTTATTCGGACAGTAACTGGGAAGTCGTCATCATCCATTGATATTGTTTCCCAGTTCGTCAGGGGGGGTGTCCAAACCCTTCTTTGACCTTTTGTTTCTGCAAAAGAGCGAAACATGGAGCCATTTCCTTAAACTTCGTATTGGATCAAAATGTGTAGTACTATCCACTATCGACTGTTCTCATGATACTTCTTCTTTGGACCTGCTGCAGTGAGTAAGCCTACACGGGATACCATGCTGGCACCGGCAGCGATGGAAGTGCCGATTGATGGCACGGTGAGCACCACGCTCGCGTCTGTGAACGCGGTGCACAATCCACGGGCACGCAAGTTGCGGTCAGCTGTTTGGCAGGACTTCACCAAGGAGCGCCGTGCCGACGGCAATTGTGTTGCTATCTGTAACCATTGCAAGAAGCAGCTCACAGCAACCAGCCGGTCAGGCACCACACACCTGCGCAACCACCTCGCGATATGCACCACCACCTCTACACGCCGTGCTGGTAAGCGTCGGAAGCTGATTGTACGCCGTATTCTCCACAACAAAACATCCACTGGGCAGCCTGGCGATGGACATGCCTCTGGTGAGGACAATGACAATGATAGCACACACTTTGATCAAGAACTCAGCCGGCAAGACCTTGCCCGTATGATTGTCCAGCATGGCTACCGGTTCTCCATAGTGGATGATCTGGGGTTTCGAAAGTTCGTCAAGAATCTCCAGCCACAGTTTAGCATGGTCTCATATGACATAGTGAGAGCTGATAGCATGGCAATTTATGAAAGTGAGAGGCTGAAGCTGCAGGATGTGCTCCTCAAAATCCCTTGTCGGGTTAGCATGTCAGTTGATATGTGGCGATCGAGTACACAGATGGACTACTTGTGTTTGACCTGCCACTACATTGATCATTCCGGCGATGAATGGAAACTTAGGAAAAAAATTCTTAACTTTGTGCATGTCGAGGAACATTTTACAGCCAATCAGATTGCCAATCTCATTCTGGAGAAGTTGCAACAGTGGGGTATTGAAAGGAAGGTAGCTTCTGTTGTGCTAGACAATTGCACCAATGGTGACATTGTTGCCGCAGAACTTCTCAGAGTTATGCAGCCTAGGAGACTTCTCCTATTAAACGGAAATTTGTTCCATGTGCGCTCTTGTGCACATATTCTGAATCTCACAGTTGAAGAAAGCTTGGAACAGACATCTGACATAATTAATAGAGTCCGTGAGATGATTCAGAATGTCAAGTTCTCACAAGAAAGGCTTCAAAAGTTTCTAGATACCGCAAAGCTGCTGCAGATTGACCAAAAACTGTTAGTTCTTGATTCTCCGAACAACTGGCCTTCCACTTACTTAATGTTTGATTCTGCATGCTATTATCACGATGTGCTTGTGCGCCTTGCAGAACAGGAAGCTAATTACGCTGCTTTCTTGACCGCTAAGGAGTGGGCTGATGTGAAAGCCCTCACTGAAATACTTGACGCGCTCAATAATACAATGGAGAAGTTTCCAGTGGAAATCCCAACCGCTAACCTATATTTCAATGACATGTGTGAGATCCAGGTTCTTTTGAACACCTGGCGCAATAGTCCATCTCCTGTTGTTGCACAAGTGGCTGGCCGAATGCTGAAAAAATTTGAGGGATACTGGGATCTTACTAGGCCAGTAATGGCATTTGCATCCATACTGGATCCTCGGTACAAGATGAAGTCAATTGAGTATTTTTTTCAGCTGATTTATGGAAATGACCAATTTACAGCAAAGGCAACAATAGAAGCCATCAAGCAAAGCTTTACCAGCCTGTGCAATGAGTATGAGCATTCAGCAGATTCATTGAAGAATCCAGCTGTTCTCTTCTACGCTGGAAACAGTAGTTCTTGCATGAGCTCTGTGTACAACACTGGAAATGACTCTAAGACCTTCTCTCGCATCACATTATCAGATGCCCGACGGGGACTTGATCAGTATATTCAGGAGTCATCGTCAGGCCAGTCCTTCAAGTCTGACTTGGACTTGTATCTTGAGGAAGCTGTCTATCGTCAAAAAGAAGGGAATCAAGATAATTTTGACATCCTTGGATGGTGGAAGTCTTTTGCGGCAAAGTATCCTGTCCTTTCTCAAATGGCCCGTGATATTCTTGCTATCCCTGTATCTATCATCCCACTGGACAGTGAAGCCCGGGTGCTGAATGAGTATCTCAGTACTATGGACCCTTCAACGGTTGAGGGATTGGTCTGCGCGCAAGATTGGTTACGTGCAGACACAGAAGGTATCACTGAGTCTTACAGATATATTTATGAACTTAGTTTTACTCTTGTAAATACTCATGTGCACTTACCAATGATTGGTTTCCTGTGTGTTTCTACAGTTGCTAATTCAGATGGCCATGCAGATGATAAAGTGCCACGTGGCGACGAACTTATTGTGGCACCGAATTAGGTGAGTATATTGGGAGCAACTAGTTTCAACTTATTTTGTTTCTTTATCTCACCCCCCTTGAATTACTAAGTCATTTTGATTTTTGACCCATACCACTAATTCAACTTGAAATGTTCCCACTTTAGGTCATAATGCACAGGCCCGCATGCTAGTGACACTAAGCACAAACTTGTGTTTTTTTTACCAGAAAGTGGAACTTGCACTTTTGCTGTTGTGTAAAACGAAACGGGCCTCCTTTTCCTTGTGAGCTTCTCCTATAAGTAATCTTATAATTAAATGGAACTGGTATTTGTATTGTATGGATTGCCTAGTATGTGTTTTGGACAGTTGGTGTAAACAGATTATCTGTTTGTTTGCAAATACTAGTGATAAACTAATTGTGTATATAGCATGTATTTTCCTTCTTATTCTGCGTGGTGAGCTCAAATTGATACAATAGTAATTCTACCAGGATGCGACTTTTGCCATGCAGCTGACCGATTACTTAAATTACACTAGGGCTATAAATCACAGACGTTGAAGACTAAAATTTAGATGTACTATATACACACACATATCAGCATACATATGCGTACTTGTGCATTTTTATCCACCATAGTACAACTCTTGCACGTATAACTAATTACCACCATAATGGTAATGCTTTAGACCTGTGCATTTTGCTTTGTCCATCCGGAGTGACACCAAGATTAATCATTGTGGCTCTGTTTCTCCTGTTAGCTTGAAATTTCATGATCCATCAAATAAACAAAAAGATGTTTTGTGGCGTTTTACTTTCTCGAGCCACCTAGATTATATAAAAGCTGACCAATTTGACTTGTCCGCAGTTATTTCATCTGTGATGAAGGCGTTTGGAGAAGAACGGAGGTACAAGAATGGCATCTATCCATGCCCCTGTCCAGGAAGCAGCAACTTAGTCATGTAAATGTATCATCCTAGTTCTACACTGTCTGTACAATGAGGTATCAGTGTTGCCCCCCAAATGAAGGCTAACATGGCGCAGCCATCTCGTGCCATTTTTAGACAGTTTGGTCGGTGTAATGTGACTGCATTCTTGACTGGGTGTGTATCCTGCTGCTCAGCAAAGCTATTTGCAGACGTCCCCGGAGCCTCGGACATGCCCTGGAATGCTTGGAGTGGACAATATTGTGCATCGAGCATTTGGAAAGTAATGCCAAAACTTAGGACCCTGGTAATTGTCACACGTCATGTACGAGCGTATGGCAAATCGAAGGATGTCAACTTTAGTTGACAAGCATGACAACTTCATGCTTAAGTTTATTTTTGACAGAAACTTGCTGTCTGTTGCTGGAATTTGTCAACCTTGCATGACTGAAATTGCCACCGAAAGACGTCAGGGCCATTTGGGAAAACTTACCGTGAGCTCTACAAAGCACCTCAATCGTAGCCAGAGTAGGGTTGGCAAAGAGCTCTACAAAGCACCTGAATTGTAGCCAGAGTAGGGTTGGCAAAGAGGACTGTGGTGTTCACCTCAAGAGTCAAGACTTATTACAGTTTGGCTTATTTTCAGACTCGACGAGTCCCACTCTGGTACAGTTGAAGGCGCTGCTGAAGACTACTCCTAGATGGCAAGATACACGGACAGGGCAAAAACGACAAATATGACTTGTGCTCGAAATCAATTCACAAACAGAATTGTTTTTTTTTAAATCGCTCCATAGACCCTTTCGTGTAACGCCCGATAGCCGGGCGCCACGCTACATTGTGCAACGTTTGACTAACACGCGCTACACACTTGGCCATCGTCACATCCTAGACTGCCTGAAAATTGCTAAGTTAGTGTGCAACGCTTGAAAGCTGGGCGCTACACTATATAGTGTAGTGCCTAGGCATTGGGTGCGGCGTTTCGGTGCCCGGGTGCATCTGCACCCGTTCAAAAAAAAAATCGTAAAAAATTCAGAAAAATTCAAAAAATTCCGAAAAAAATTGAGGTGGTGGACAATTTGATGCGTGAGGTGCGCCCCAATTTTTAAAACATTTGGACTTATGTGCAGCTCTCAGCAAAAAAGACAAATCAGACCAAAACAGTATATGAACAGTACACATTTTTACAGACCTCCGATTTGTCTTTTTTGCTGAGAGCTGTACATAAGTCCAAATGTTTTGAAAATTAGGGCGCACCTCACGCATCAAATTGTCCACCACCCCAATTTTTTCGGAATTTTTTGAATTTTTTTAGTATTTATTTTGATTTTTTTGGTGAGCGCAGGTGCAGATGAGCTCGGGCTCAGATTTGGATTTTCGCTAGGCATTGCACTAGTGTCTGCTTCATCTTGTAGTGGCAAATAGTGTAGCCACTAGGCGCTACACCGTATAGTGCAGCACCTAACTCTCAGGTGTTGCACATTGAGAGCAATTTCAATGGGGCGATCCATTTTGCCCGTTTGGGTCATCCGGACAGAAAACTTAGCCCAACGGGGCGACCTAAACGGACGCGCATGTCCGCATGCTGTCTGTTTGTCATCCACCCCGACCTAAACTGAGCCCAAATTTGGGCCATAAATGGGTCTACGACGGACAAAAGCGGGCGCTCCTCTCGTCTGCTCTCGTCCGCTGCTACCCTCCCGTGTCCGCCCTGGTCCTACTAGTCAGCGACACAGCACGAGCCACTTGACCGAAAACTGCAGCGAGATCCCCACCCAGCCAAGCGCCGCCACGAGCTGCCGTCCTCGACGGCGAGGGCTCCGCCTCCTCCGTCGTCCTCGCCGGCGAGGCCTCTGGTCACTGGCCATGCCACCGCCGCTCATCGCCGCGCACCGGGGAGATCTCCGCCGCCCGTCGCGCTCACTAGGAAGACCTCCGCAGCCGCAGCCCCGTCACGAGCTCCGGTCGCCGTGGAGCTCCTGCATTGCATCGAGCGGCACGTCTGGCCCCCCCTGCCGACCGCGTGCCCCGCAGCTCGCCGCGACCACTCGCCCCGCCCGCCCGCCACGCCGCTCGCCGCGCCTGCTCGCCCAGCTCGCAGTCGAGGCCACCGGCACAAGCCGCCGTGGTGCTCGCCGTCGCGCTTGAAGGCCATGGCGGCGGCGGTCGAGCACGGACGTCGGCCATGGCGGAGCAATTCCTCTGCGCCAGATCCGGTGAGGAAGAAGGGAGGAGGAGGGGGGCGAGCCCGCGCCTGGGGCCGGCGGCAGCGGCGCTGGGCCGGGGCACATGCCCGTCGTCAGGCTCGCTTGGTGGTGCTGCTGTTGTGCGCTTGCCTGTCCGCTTTGGGTCTCTTCTGCGTTGGGTGCATCGCGTGTCCGCCCCAAGTCCGCTAGGCGGACAGATGACCCATATGGACGAAAAACGGATAGAATCCGCGTCCGTTTGGGTCTCAGCGTTGGAGTTACTCTGACTTAACAATTTTCAAGCAGTTCAGGATGTGACGCTTGGCTATCGGACGCTACACAAAAGGATCAGCAGTGCGAATTTTTTTTAGCCAACAATTCAGTTTGTGAATTGATTTCGACCGGTGAGTTTTGCGCACGAACAGCGGCACAGCGCATACTTCCATCCCCAAATGCAGGGCATCGCCGGATCGGCACGCGGCCCTCCGTCACCCGTGCTGACAGACGCAGCACCCCCGGCGGTCGAGCACGCCCCAGCATGGGCACCGGCATGCATGCCGCGGCCCGAGCACGCGCGAACAGCGACAGTGACGAACGAAACATTCGCACGGCGCGGCGCGACCACACCACGCGGGACCATGGATTCGAACAGAATAAAGCGGCAGCACGAACAGTAGAGTAGATAGAAATTCAAAGAATAGGCAAGGCTTAGCTGGCCAGTTACTGATTACACCTCTACCTGAAAACTGAAACGTATACCATCTGGATGGTAGTAATTGTCTTCTGACGTTACGCAAAAGAATATGAGTACTATGTATACGCTCCCGGACCAATACGGCTTCATTCCCGACTTCTCCTCCCCCCCTCGCCCCGCGATCGAGCAGGGCTTCACCACCGGCGGGCGCCCGGCTCCTCCGAGTGATCAACGTGGACCTGGCACCTGCAGACCAGGAGAGGATTAAAATCTCTTGTCAATTGGGATAACAAAATTACGCTGCAGAAAGACGCCATTCACAATAGCCAACCCCATGATTTTTATTTATTTATTTTGCAGGAAAACCCCATGAATTATCCTACGCATCTCTAGAAGCTAGGGCCCAAAGTGTTTGTTGATATGGACACATGCAGAGAGAATAAAGTTTTATTTTATGGTTTGTCGTCGGCCCATAAGCTTATAAGCTTGTATAAAGGTCAATCATAAGCCTAAGGACAAGTTCAGTTTTGCAAATATGTACAATTAAGCGCTAAGGGCAGGTTTTCTTTTTCTCTCAGAATACCCATAAGCATGTGCATCATCACATTAGAGAAGAAGCGGCAAAGAAGCCGAGGTTTTCTTTTTCACAATATGGCTGCAAAGCTAGGTTTGTGTGTGTTTAGTTTTCCGTTTTTTTCTTCAAAAAACGGGCTCTCCATGGAACCAGGGAGCAAGAAATCCACACCTCGGGTGCCACATCTTTGCATGTGTAAAGAAATTTAGTTGAAGAGAAGTGACTATGGCATCTAAGGAAATCCTAAATATCCGAGTAGTTTTTTTTTTTGCGGCTTTCTGAGTAGTTTTGTTGATATACACTAAAATATCAGTGCTGTAACTCCACAAGCTCATTGTGCAATGATCTTCTAGGAAGTGAGGAAATGAGTTCATACTTCTAAAAACAATCAGGATTCTTAGAAAAACCTAAAATAAATAAATAAATACAGCAAACAGATTGCTTTAAAGTGAGTTGATGGCTATGGTCCTAACAGTAGGGCAGGCAAATCATGTATATATGAAAAAGTAAAAGATGAGTAGTTGAAACAGGAGCCACATAAATATATAAGTTTGCACTTTTCAGCATTTCAATGCTATAACAAAGTAAAAGACAAAAATGACATGCATAGGCTGGTCAGGGGAAAATGTGGTGTCTTCACGTTGCAATGAGATGCCAAGAG